CCACTTAGGAGACCACCAGCACAGTCATCTACTTACCTGGTACCCAAATATTTATTGAAAGCTTACTGTGTTAAATGCACTGATATAGGACTGAGAACAAAACAGTCTAAATCTCTCATGGAGAATGTGAGTTAAGGCACAGATACTAGGGATCAGCAGAGGGCAGGGCTATGGTACATAAAACTTGGTGACTGTGGCAGTCGGATATGTGAAGAACATTTTCCGTAGTTGGGCGGGGGTCGGGGGAACTGATGTCAGTACAACCAGGAAAAGTCTGAACCCACACGGAGCCACCAGAATAGACCTTTAAAAACCATACTGACTAAAGGCAATGTGAGGTTCCAGATTGGATTTTGGATCAGAAAAAGGATAAGAATAGAAAAACTGGTAAAATCTGAATACATAAAATCCGGAGAATAGTTAATAGTCACGTGTCCATGTTAGTTTTTCAGTTGTGACCAGCGTTCCATGGTTGTGTAAGATGTCAACATTAGGGGAAATTGCATTAAAAGTATATGGGAACTCTACTACTTTGGCAATGCTTCTTTAAGTGTAAAATTAATTTCCCCTGAAGTTGGGAGGTGTGTGTGTGTGTGTGTATTTTCCAAACACATTTAATAGAAAAAAAAGTGTAGAATAATTTATATAGAATGATCCTATTTATTTAAAAGCACTTAAAATTGCTATATATTCCATGAGTACATATGTGTATATGTAAATTCATAGAATACCTTAACAGCATATATAACCTGGTATCAGTGGTTACTTGTAGCCCAGAATAGAGGTGGGGACAGGACTTACTGAGGGGATTCAAGGGGGCCTTGGCTTTGTCTGTAACATGGTAGATTCTGTAAGAAATATGCAGCGAGAACATCCTTTGAAATTCAACTCAGACAGCCACTGCCTGCTCCAGGCCTTGGTATTTCCCACCCTCCCTGGGTGCAGAGGACTCTGGTCCCAGCTGTGCCATGCCAGGGACACAGCTGGTCTGCTGGCCACTCCCACGGCTCTCTGGGCAGTCACCCTACCCCTACATGCAGCAAGACTTCCATGTGCTATTTACATGCCCATGGTCCAAGATTTTTCTCATTATTAGCTTTATTTTTTTTTATTCCAACTCAGAGGATAAAGAAAAAAATCCCACTGTGAAAAGAAGTGTTGAATTACAAAGAATAATAGGAAAGACCAGTTAATTGTGAAGCCCTGCTATGCGGTGTAATGGGTGTTAACAGCTGCGGCAGGAGCAGACGTGCGCAGGATTTGTCCTGGCCAGAAGGGGTGCGCTGGGTTTCTTATACTCTGTCATATTCAACAACAACAACAACAAAGGGCCCAACTCTGGGGGGACCATGGCTGTGAAGAAGCACCTGGACAATTTTCAGAGGTTTAACACAGTATAATATGCGTCATCTACCCATTTGACTTACATGGAATAGCTTAATGTGTGGCTGAGCTCCTCTCTGGGCCCGTGGCCATTGAGTACCTCCTATCCCCCAGCTTAGTGAGGCTGGAGTGGGCTGGGGTCCCTCTGAAACCCCACCTAGAAACCAAGAAGCCGGAGAGGTGGTGGGTGATTCCAGAATCAAAATGGAGCCCAAACCCCTGTCTCTTCTCTGGGGGGTGACCCCCTGTCCCATGCTTTCCTCTCCAGTGTCCTGGGATGCCTTTGACACGTGTGGAGCTGTTGGACTTGGAGAAATTACCAACTCTACTGGTGTTCTAGAAAACAAGTTTTTCAAAGAATTTCTAGTAGTGTTATATGTTCAAAATACTAGGTCTAGGAAGAAGGTAGCAAATAAACCCAGCCTTTTTTCAGCAGAAAGATCCAAATGGCAGCAATGGAAATCAGTGCCAGTTACGATGCGTGTGGATGGTGATAAGCTCTGTCAAAATCAGCGGTCCTCAGACTTGGCCGTGCATCAGAATCATCCAGGCCCCACTCCCTGGGCTTCTGATTTAGGGGGTCTGGGTGGGGTCTGGGTGGGGCCTAAGAATTTGCATTTCTATCAAGTTCCCATGCTGGTCCAGGCAAAAACATCTTGAGACCAGTGTTCCAGGGAGAATGAGGCCCCTCATTTCCCTGTGCGGCGGCCACAGAAGGCCTCTCACTCTGGGGACACTGTAAGCAGTGCAGCTGCGTGGGCGTCACTTCAAAGTGGATGCAGATCTGAGGACCAAGGGGCAGCTTCATCAGATATGTTAAAAGCCAAGCCTTTAAAAAAAAAATTATTGAGAAAGAGAGATGTGTCGTGCTCAGCAGAGGTGCTCACAGTGGGGACTCGCTCCTTTCCCAGGGAATAAGTTGCTTAAATCCAGCAGCCTGTGCTCACTTAACAGAGTCCTTGCTGCAAGACCCCAGGCGGGTCAAGCTCTCTGAGAGAGGGCAGAGAAGTAACCCGGGCCTGACCTTGACAGCAGGGGGGAAGTTGCCCCAAGGGAATGTCTGAGTCTAGAATTCAGCTTTCTGTGCTGAGTGGCCGGTGGAGAAATGGGAGAGTGGCAGTATTTGCCGCAAGAGAGCTTTCAGGGCCGTCCACCCCTGTGTTTCTACTGGAAGGTCTGGGATGCTGTCCTCCCCGTGGTTCTGAGCAGGAAGGGTCGAGAAAGAACAGGGCACAGATGGCTCCTCCTGGCAGGTCCCCAGCAACGGGCCATGGCTGGGAGCTAGATGGGACCAGAAGTCCATGGCTGGGAAGCATGGCAGCTCCAGAGCTCTGCAGGTGGCCCTGGTTTATTTCCCAGTAGATTGTCCTCCAGGTGAACACGACCTTTTGGAGAGGACCTATCTCCTGGGTGTGCTTAGGGCAGCAAGAGCAAAAGGTTCTAATCCACATTTGGGCCAAAATGGTAAGAAGGGAAGGAGAGTGACAGTAAACATAGAGGTGACAAAGAAAAGCAGCATTTTCTCAGCTGCCCCTTCCCACAGTAGGTCTGTTTCCAGAGCCCTTCTTTTCTCAAACCGGAGAGGTTTGTGAAGAGATGTGTTCCCTCAGAGACTTCCATAAAATATTATGGCTAAGATGATTTTTATTCCTAGAGGTGCAATCTCTCCCGTTACCAACAATGCCATAATTTCATTATGACTGTTAGAATTAGTATTGCAATCATTAGCTACTATTTACAGAGCCCCTTCTACATGCCTGGAATTATAGTTTGCACACACTATCTCATTAAATCCCCACCAACACCCCTGGGGAATAAGTGGTGCTACCCTCATCATGCAGATGAGGGAGTCAGGAGCCAAAGAGGCAAAATACCAGGTCCAAGGTCACCCCCATTGATCATTGACCAAGTTAAGACTGGGACAAATATTTGTCTGAACAGTGGGGCTCTTCATTGAACAGATGTTGGCTTTGGTTTCTGCTATATTCCAGGCACTGTGATCCAGTGGTGAGCCCAGTATGCTGAGCTGTTGACCTCATGGAGCTTCCAACGAGAGGCAGTGGGATGGGGGGAGAACGTCAGTTGGATCAAATCAAGTCAAGCAGTAACTTTACTTTTAGTCTTGATTTGGATAGTTTTTATTATCTTAAAATGAAAACAGAGATCATTGATGTTTAACCAAATTTCTGAGCATACTTTTATGAAGAATATTTTAAATCAGGAAAACACCATATTGCCATGGAACTGTGGCATGCTCTCAACTGTCATGGCAGAGGAACCTTGCCTTGAGGGTTAAGCTGTCTTAGGCACCACTGCCACCTGGTGGCCCCCACTGGAATTGCAGGCTTGGTGGCCACAGAACTGGCCCAGTGGGAGGGAAGCTGATTATACCAGAAGGTACATTTCCTGGTATGGCCACCCACACCCTCGAGGTACAGCTGACTAAATTCCAATAGGTGCTTGTTGATTTGTAAGCAGAGTGCACCTGAATCAGTAACAGCTTACTTTTATCTGTATGTTTTGAATGTCTATTGCATTCCTGACTTTTAAATTGTTGTTATAATCAAATTAATACCTGCGGATATTGATGATAGAATGACATGAAATATAGATGAATACCTGCGAAAACTCTAAAGCCAAGTTTTGCAAATAATTTCTTTTTAGTTGGACACCTTCAAATGCCATAAAGAAAACAAAATACAGTTTGGTTCTTAATTACTTCTCAACCTCATCTCTGAGACTCAAACCACACTAGTGACACAGATTCTGAAACTTTCTAGTGTCTCTCTCACCTGCCTGATGCCTCTAACTATCCTGTTCTCTCTGCCTGGAAATACCTTCTTCCATCTTTATCTTTTGAGTTTATTCTTCAAGTGTCAAAGGAAGGCTAACAACCTGTAGGGAATTATCTAAAAGTATATTCGCAACTGAGTGCTGCAAAGCAATGTCTCTAGAGAAATGGAAAATGGGTTCTGAATCCCATCTTTGTCTCTAATACCTGTGACTATGACTTACTAAATCTCTCTGTGTCTCAATGGTTTCACCCATTACATGCAAGTAATAACATCCCCTGACCCAGCGTCATTTTGAGGTGGTGGCGGTGCTTTTTTGTTTGTTTTTAATAAAAATGTGTGTAAAATCCTTGCTCAGCACTGTGCCTAGTACCTGGTAGAACCAGTGGGATGGGTGAAGATATATGTAAACACCTAGCACCTTAGTCACTGCCTGTACAATATAAGATGGTTGAACAAATGTTCTAGTGTTGATGTTTTCATTATCTCTTTGGCCTTGCTTGCAGGAAAAAAAAAATTTCTTGGGAGTTAAACATAATGTAAATGTCAAACCTTGAGCTTTGCTGGAGTTATTTCCCTCCTCGATCCATCTCTGCATGTCACCCCAGTACTGGTGCACCTCTACAGCTGTAAGCTGCAAAGATTTGCATACTTGGATGAAAGGTGTTAAGCAATGATGCTATTTTGGGTGAAGCTACTTTACTAGAGTTTATTAGGCACCTTTATGTCAACACCTGTGCTGAGTGGATTGCTCACTGAGGTATGTTTGTAATGCTCCCTCTCTGTGTGCCAGAGTCTTAAATGTCACTCTGTTTCCCTGACCAGGTAGTCGATAATGACAGACCGGAAGGGTCCAAGTTCCGGCTCACTGGAAAGGGAGTAGATCAAGAGCCTAAAGGAATTTTCAGAATCAATGAGAACACGGGCAGCGTCTCCGTGACACGGACCTTGGACAGAGAAACTATTGCTTCTTATCAAGTGAGTACCCCTCAAGTGCCCATCCTGCATGAAGGGTTGTGGCTGCCAAAGATTGTTTCTTCCCACTGAGCTCATTATTTCTCTGCTTCATCAAACCCAGCGCGATATGACTCTAAGTGCATCTCCGTGGGATCTGAGGGGTGTTGAACCCCGGCAGTGGGGACCCCTGTCTCTTCAGTGGAGACCCCAGGCCTGCGTGATATTTTCAGCACGGGAAACAAAACATGGGGTCTTGGGGGTGTATCTCAGAGGAGGTCAGAGCCCTTAGCACAGCTTTGGCTTCCAGAAACTAGCTTAGTCATCAGGAGCAGTAAGAGGCATAAACACTTGGACCTGGACATTTCACTTTTTAGAAATCTGTCCTAAGGAAATAGGGAGAAATTCAGTGAAACTTTTATACAATGATCTTATAGCAGGACATGATCCTTAAATGGAACCGAGTGGAAGTTGTGTACAACCACTGAAAATATTTTTGAAGAGGTTCTACTTACGTGGGAGAGATTCAAGACATTGACTGGAAACACACGTGTGTCTGTTTCCATATGGCATCCTCATTGCAGATCAAGCATTTGCACATGTCATGATGGGTGTGTGTGTGTGTGAAGAATCATGATGCAGGAAACACCAAAGTGTTAAGTAATGGTTGCGTTTGGGTGTTAATTAATTTTTCAACTTGGTTTTCTTTCTTTTTCCCACAATATACCTCAATTACTTTTATATGGAGAATAAAAAGCCATTTGTGAAAGGCGAGTTCCAGGAGTTCTATCCGTTCAGGACACAGAGACCAAAGCAGTTGAACCCAGATGTTGGGATGAGCAATGAATCTCACGTAGGCTGGAGGCCAGTCCCACCCCTTTTCTACCACATCCCCAAAACAGTTTTGTGTTCAGAGCCTATTATGGACGTGAGCCTCTGAGAGAAGTAAGCTCCTTCTTTGAGCAATGGATGGAATTCCCAGCAATTTTCAGGGACAGCCCTCCATGGGGTACTGTGCACCGAGCTGGAAGCAGGCACAGTGGGAACAAGGTCCAGGAACATTTTCTTTCGCTCTCCATTACTCATCATATGATCATTTCCCTAGATTGGGGTCAAGAGGCGGTAGCCAATTACTAGAACCAGATTTGGTATCTCTGGTTTTCTTGGTCAAAACACCATATAAGAGCATCCTAATCCCCCTTCAACAAAAGGTTCATGTTTATTCTTCTCTGCAGACAGGGTTTGCAGAGACATCACATTGGAGAGTCAAGTGTTCTGGCTGGGAAACAGGTGCCCTATGTCTAGCTAGCCTGCTCTGTCACCATGAGCTGTTGGCCTCGGGAAGGTGCTGGTCCTCAGGTCCTTCATGGCCGGTCCCAGCCATGATATACAAATAACGCTTGCCCACCTGCTCCACTGCATTGGTGTGAGCTTCAGTGAGGAGAAGTTAGCGTGAGGTCGTGGGAGGCATTCAAGCGCTGACTAACATAGTGGCATGATGGGAGTTTGGGGGAATCTCTGCCCTCCAGCAGACCTCATGCCTAGCAATGTGTTCAGGGGCCCCGGGTTCTGGGAAGATGAGGATGGCCCCCAGATATCCTTCTCAGAAGCTGTGCCAAAGGGCGGATGCTACCAGCATCAGCAGGGGATTCCCATCTGTCAAAGATCGCCAAAGGGCGAACGCTGTGTCCTTGCTGTACACCCGGGGGAAATCAGGTTGTTATAGAAACTAAATATTGGTGTCCTCAGAAATTCCCAGCCCGCTGGCCTTGGGAGTAGCCAGAGGTGTCCTGGCAGTTTTCGGCCAGCAGCAGGCCACAGGGTAGGTGCCCTCTTCTCTTCCCAGGCCTATCATGGGACTATCCGTTAATCTGTAGGCACTAGGAACTAAGGAGACAATGAATTTTATAATTTTGCAGTGTAGTGGTGAAGATTAAGAGCTCTGGGGCAGCCACATTCTCTCTGAGTGTCAGCCCTGCTGTTTGCTGAGCTGGGCGATCTCGGGCGACCCACTGCCCATCCTGATCTTTTCATTCCCCTCCAACAAAGTGAGGACAGCGCTGTCACCTCAAAGGGCTGTGAAAGATGAAATAAATTTTTTTCCAATGTTTAGGGGAGCACATAGCAATGAATCATAGCTGCTCTTATTAGTTTTGTCCTGAATATTTTTTTAATGTTTTAGTTAAGTTCCACAGTTTTTAATGTCACTTTCCAGCCTTCGACCATGAGAAGGGTGACATCTGCAGCGGACCTGTGTTTTGTTGTTGTTTTTTTTAACTTCTCTCCTGCCATGAACCAAACATTTTTGTGGCAAACATATCATTTGTTGCCACTTTTTTTTTTTTTTTAAGTATCAGAAAGAGATTCCTGGATGAAGCTGAATCTCCATAATTCCCTGATTGATTTAAGGGGTACAAGATAAACAATAAGAGGATCTTCTTGGGAGTGTTCTGTAGCCTGCAAACACAACGAGCATGAATCAGAGAAAGTGGAGGGGGCTGGTTGTCAGGAATGCGAACTGGTGAATGAGCGGCTGAAAGGTGCCGTTTGGGCTGACGCCACTGGAGCTGTTTGAAGAGCTGAGCGAGAGTTTGGCTGCATCCGTAGCTAACTGATGTTTGTGGGATCCAAAAGTGGTTTCAAAGTTAAAGTCACCCATTTCGGTGTCCTTCCACATTCAGAGAGACTCCTGGGCACCATAAACCAGGACCTGTCTCAGTGTGAACATTCTTCTTAGACGGCAATAGCCTGGATGTCTGTGGACAGCGAGACAGTCCCCTTGGGGCAGTCAGAGGGGCAGGGAAAAGAATTCAAGCACCAACATGAAAGGATTGAAAGGGAGTGATAGGAAGGTAGTCTTTGGTCAACGGAGTCGGCGTGGATGTTGCCAAAGATGCCAGTTAAAGACTTCTTGAAGCAGAATTTCTAAACCATGATGTAACCCTTTCCTCTGTCCTCCACAAAGCTGGGTACATGGCTGTCACCTATGACTGTGGAGGGACCTTACTGCACAAAGGGAGTGACTGAGGAATGAAACAAAGGCCTGACTCAGCGCATGGCTCACTCCTACCCAGGAGCTGCCCCACAGGGCGGGCGCACCCCCCAGAGGAAGGCTGCCTCCTTCTAATTTTCACCAAGGCATTAGGGGCAAGGAATGAATTAAATCTGCATTAATTTTTTAAAACTTACTTAATGTTATTTTTATCTACGTGATATCTAGGTGACAGTAGTGATTAAAAACAAGGGTCCTAAGGTCAGAAAACTGTGCTGCTGCTTACCGAGCTGTGTGATCTTGGGCAACCCACTCACCCTCTCTGATCTTGTGACTCTCATCCATAAAGTAGGGATAGTCCTAGCACCTGTAAGGATTGTAAAAGATGAAATTACTAGTCTGTATTAGCTAGTAATTGTCAATCAGCTGGTAAAGTAGAGCCCAATCTGAAACTTAGAGCCTGTCATATTTTTCCTTAAAGGGAAGTCGTATAGTATCATAGCAGTTAAAAAGATAATTTTGCCACAGCCACACTGGCTGCATTCACATCGTGGCTGTTATGGACTACCTGTGGGAACTGGGGCAGGTGTCTGCCTCAACTTTCTCATCCATAAAATGGGAACAGTAACAATACTGAGCTCATAGGGTTTTAATGGATTGAATGGGCCAGACACATAGCGAGCACTGTGTAATCGCACCACCTGCGTGAGAGGTCAGTGCTGTCTGCGAAAGGCCAAGGGAGGTGCATGAAAACTCCGAAGGCTCTGAGCTGTGGCCCAGTCAGCCCATCTCAGGTATGAACTTCCCTTGAGTCATCTTGAGGGTTTTTTTTTAATCATTTCATAATGCGTTGATTGATCAATTTATCCTGTCTACATATATTTGATTGAGTATGTACAGGGTGAGGAGCTCCCTCCTGGGTGTGAAGGGAAGATGCTGGGAAACAAGATGCACCAGGGTCCCTGCCTCCCTGTGGCTTTCATTTTAATGCCAAGGCTTAGTTTCAAAATACACTGATTGCAATTTCTCACCAGTGTGTACAGGGGATATGCCAGGACGCTGTGCTTGGCTCATGGCGTGGCTTGGGTTACCTGTGGCACAGAGCCACTTGCGCCCGGTGGAGGCTGCTGGTGCTTGGTGGGGATGCAGGATCTTACAGGAGCGCTGGGCGACAATGGCCACACTGTGGCCTGGTTCTGAACCGCGCATCACCAGCCTCACGAGGGTCCCCTTTCAAATGCCGCATCCCAGCCCTCCCACCCCCCCCACCCCGGCCTTTCATGCTTCCATTGTCTTTGTTCTCTTTTCCTCACACCCCTGCTGAGGAAGGTCCCCTATTGCTGTGCTGGGTCCTCTATTTCTGATTTAATGAGTCCTGGGTTACTCTCTTGTTAGTATATTTTGAGCGCAAGAATGGTACAGTTCCGCTCCACTTCAAGTGCCTGTTTAGAAATAATTTGCTGTAAGAAGTAGAACAGTTGGATCCATCGTGTTCATGGTGGTCATTAAGTTTGGGAGCAAACATGCTTCTTTAAAGAACTGAATCCTAGGTCTCCAGTTCCCACATTTTAGTTTTCCCCCGGCAAGTTTAAAAAGCAGAGATCGTGTGGGTGAATGGATCGCCATTATAATTGCTCCCATGTCGTCGTTGTTTATTTTAAAGCTAAATGCTACTCATATGCAAGTCCATGCCAGTGCGTTAACATCTCCCGAATCCCACTAGAAAGCAGTCTGAACTAAGCCTGGGGGAGTTGCACAATAAGAAATAATATGGGATAAATTTGTCCTTGGGCCCCCATGCGTATCATCATTAAAGGTGCTGTTTATTAAACACTATATGGTTGATACTGTGCTGAATACTTCATATACGTTTTCTTATTTAATCCATTTTCACACAAGAGACTTAAAAAGAAGGTGATAACACCATTTTACAGATAAGCAAATAGCTGTTAAATAACTTTTTCAGCGTCTCCCAGCTGGTGTATATTGAATCTGGGAACCATATCTGTTTCTCTCCACCTCCAAAACCTTG